TACTTAATTTTCTGTAAAAATGTGCCCAGAGCTGTTAATGTTTCATGGGACACCACAGGAACAGATAAGGCAGAAAAGGTGTTCTCTAAGGCTATAAATGATAGTTTCTGCAGGTGCACCATGGTTGGGAAAGAAAAATCAGTACCCTGAATAAATTTATATCACTATGAAGACAGGTCTGTAATCCTGGAAAATCTGGATGGTGAGTCTACTGAGAGTATGGTGAGGTATTGCTCCATAAAGGGTTCTGAGGCTTTATATTTCAGAGAGGGCATAGAGAATGCCTATGTAAAAGACTATTAGAGATTGCTCACTATACAGGAACAAGATGATTTGCCTCTGTGATGTAAAACTTGCCTCCACATTCCCTCCGTAGACTTCACGTCAAGGAATTTATACTTTAGGTCTTTCTTAGGTCTTAAGGAAACAAACCAACCATTTGCCTTGTTTACACATTAGTAAGATCTGTAGTAAGTAAGATTAGTAAGTATCATAAGCCATCTTTTCTTCCAAGCAAAGTATACAATTACAGATATTCCCTGTCTGAGGGAAGGGAAAGATGGGCTGTATAGGAAGACCCTGAGCTCATCTCCTTCCACAGGCATATTGAATATACACCTACATAAAGAGCAACTGCTTCTGAAGAAGATCTGAGGATTGATTGACCATCTACTGCACAGAGTTAGCCTACATAAAAATGGAATACCCATGATGAGGGTAAAAGAGGAGAGTGAAAAAGCTGGCTTAAAACTCAACATTCAAAAAACTAAGACCATGGCATCCAGTCCCATCATATCATGGCAAACAGAAGTGGAAAAAGTGGAAACAGTGGCAGATTTTATTTTCCTGGGTCCCAAGATCACTGCGGACAGTGACTGCAGCCATGAAATTTAAAGACGGTTACTCCTTGGAAGGAAAGCTATGACAAAACTTAGTGTATTAAAAAGCAAAGTTACCACTTTGCCAACAAAGGTCTGTATAGTCAAAGCTATGGTTTTTCTAATAGTCATGTATGGATGTGAGAGTTGGACCATAAAGAAGACAGAGCACCAAAGAATGGATGCTTTCAAATTGTGGAGCTGGAGAAGGCTCTTGAGAGTCCCTTAGACTGTAAGGAGATCAAACCAATAATCCTAAAGGAAATCCTAAATGAAAAATCATTGGAAACTCCAACACTTTGGCCACCTGAGGTGAAGGGCTGACTTACTGGAAAAGACACGGATGCTGGGAAAGACTGAAAGCAGAGAACGGCGCAGCAGAGGATGAAATGGTTAGGTAGCATCATTGCCTCAGTGGACTTGAACTTGAGCAAAACTCCAGGAAATAGTGAAAAACAGGGAAACCTGGCATGCTGTAGTCACGGGGTTGCCAAGAGTCAGACACGACTTAGAGGCTGAACAACAACTCTTCATGGGAACCCCACCAGTCATAGAGACCTCCAACACGGAGGAATACGGCTGGCGTGCTCCCCTGAGACATGCTGAACAAAGAGTTGTTTCAAGTACACCTAGACTATATGAGAAGACAACCTATTTAGTAGCCATAGGTCATCTGTCAAACAAACAGGAAACTGCCAGAGCTCTCTCAGAGGTCAGAGGTGCTAAGGAGCTCCATTTTTGATGCCCTTCCCACTATGGAGAATCTTCATGGTCTGTATTTCCTCAGTGCCCAGCCATCCCTCTAAGACTGTCTTAGGTGCTGCACTCCCCAGGTGCTGCCTCCAGCCTGGATCCTCATGTTCTGCCCAGCTTGCCAAAGCCCCAAAGCACAAGTAATCTACTGAAGAGGATGCTTCCCCACAGGGACAATTTTTCAAGACCAGGAGAGGTCGCTGTTTCACCTAATTCATAGAAACAAGAACCTGGTCAAACCAAATGAAAAGACAGATAAATATGCTCTAAACAAAAGAACAAAATGAAACACCAGACAAACCCTAATGAAATGGAGATAAATAATTTACCTGATAAAGAGTTCAAAAAAATGGCTATAAGGATGTTCATAATACCTGGGAAAAGAAAGGAGGAACTCAGTGAGAACTTAAAATCTTAGATAAAGTAAGAAAGAACCAAGCACAAATGAAGAATTCAATAACTGAAATAAAAAATAACTAGATGGAATCAAAAGAAGACTGGATGATATGGAAGAGAAGCAATCTGTAAGCTGTGCTAGTGGAAATCTCCCAGTCAGAACAGAGAAAAAGAAGAAAGAATTTTTTGGAATGGAAAAGATTTTAGTAAAATTATGATGCCACAATTTAAAAGCTCTATGGAGTTGGAATCATGAAAAGTACAATTTCTATGCTGCAGAAAGTGATAGCTAAAGCTAAAAAGAAAACAACAAATTGGGGGAAACATTTGAATACAAATATTCAAAGACATTTGAATACAAATACAAATATTTGTATTATACAAATACAAAAATTCAAAGACAATATTTGAATACAAACAATGCAAATATTATAATAAAGGGATTAATATCATTAGCATATATGTGGAACTGATAAATCAATATGCAAAAGCTAGTATTCCACTGATGAGGACAGGGTGGAAGAACACCTCAACATAGGATATTAACTTCTATTTCAATAAGAAAAAAGATGTGACAACTTTTTGTCTGTCTTGAATCACTTTTCTCCTTCCATTGATGACAGTACCCCACCTCCCCCATTTGAGAAATGTTCCTCCTTAAATTCCTATAGTTCTCTGGAGGCTGTCAACCACACACTTTGGCCCTTGCTACTAAGGTGGGCATCAAGAAGTAGTCCATGAAAGATCTGGTATAGAGCTAAAACAATGCTAACTAGAATTCTATCATTGCGTTTTAAGATAGATGCTAGGAAAGAAAATCTCTCCCTTTCCTACAGGGTTGCTCTGCTGAAATGACTTAAAATTTGTTATTTGCAGCCTCTCTTCTCTCCCTACATGATGCATAAAAATGTCCATGTGCAACAGAAGAAAATAAGAACAGTGTACAGAAGAAAAAGTAGTCAATAGAGAAGGAGGAGAGAAAGAAACAGAGCAAGGAGCAAGAGAAATGGAGTGAATGACAGAGAAAAATCCACACGTGTGCAAGTAATTGACTCCCTGGAGTCTGTGAGGCTGGATCCACTATTAGACATCCCAGTAACCTGAGTCAGTAAGTTCCTTTAAAAAATATTAAAAGAGTTTTTGCATTGTGGTAAAAATCTATGTATATAAACATACATTTCACCAGTTTTTAGTACAGCTCAGTAATGTTAAGTATATTCAAGTTGTATAATAGATCTATAGATCTTTTCCTCTTGAACAACTGAAACTTTTAAATTCTTTGTTTTAGTTACTTTAAGCTTTCTTTGATTGGAATCCTGACACATGTAATTCAGAGAGTTCAGATTAATAATATGAAAAACTACAAGTATAAAAAAAAGAAATTTAAGATAATTTTTTATTTTTATTTTATTTTTTTTTAAGATAATTTTTTAAAAAAGAGCTTCCCAGGTGGTTCAGTGGTAAAAGAATCTGCCTGCCAATGCAGGAGATGCAGGAAATGCAGGTTTGATCCTTGGGTTGGGAAGATCCCTGGAGGAGGAAATGGCAACCTGTTCCAGTATTCTTGCCTAGGAAATCCCGTGGACAAAGGAGACTGGTGGGCTACAGTCCGGGGGGGGGGGGGGTCACAAAAGAGTAGGACACAACTTAGCGACTAAGCAACAAATTAAACGGAGATACAGGTATTAGTTTCCCATGGGCCCAAAAATGGACTCAACAATGAATAAATGATATAAAGGCAATGGAAATAAAGAGAAAAGGCAAAGAAGTTATCAAGTAAGATAAGATATAAAGTAAATAACGACTGCTTGTAAGACCAAAGGGATATTGATAGACTATATAAGAATCTATAAAAATCAGAGTTATTTGCAGTACATCCTTGAGAATAAGCCTTAGTTCGTCTTTGTTGAAATGGGTATGAATTCTAAACCTGTTGATACAAATCCTTCATTCCTTTATAAGAGAATATAGTCATATACAAAGCATTTTCCAAACTAAAATTTAGCTTGCAATTCATTCAAATGCAACAGGAATAGTCATGCCAGGAGAAGGAGTAAGAAGAACCTGGCTAGTTACATGTGGAAATAAGAGTGTATGTAAGAGCATAGGGATTAGATGACCTGGAAAATAGTATGAAAAATAGTCAAAAGGTAAGCCTTGTGATGCTCAGCCAAAACTGTCCAGATAAAAGTCTTGACCTAAGGATCTTATTTTTCCAGTGTGATGGTAGGCTTATTCTAGTGTGGAGATATAGTCATTAAATAGCAAAATCTGATATGATTAAATATTTGTATAATCCAGCTAACTTTTCTTGCTCTGAGTCCCTATTCATTAATGTTTATATCACTGTTTAACTTCCCAGAAATTTTCCTATAGTTGAAGAATGAGTTACATTTATGTGGAAGTTCTGGCCACTTAACTGATTTTTATATGACAAATTAATAAATAGGCATCTTGATGTATATATTTCCATGTAGTATTACTCTACTAAGTGTCAATTGCCAATCCTTTATATAACCCACTCTGACACCAAAGAGACAATTTTGAAGTTTCAGTTCAGTTCAGTTGCTCAGTAGGGTCCAACTCTTTGTGACCCCATGAACCGCAGCACGCCAGGCTTCCCTGTCCATCACCAACTCCCGAAGCTTGCTCAAACTCATGTCCATTGAGTCTGTGATGCCATTCAAGCATCTTGTCCTCTGCCTAGAAGTCTAGACCATAATAAATCCATCAGATTATGTCTCCTGAGAGACAAGCAATTGGCCTTCTCCAGAAGATATTTTTTACCACACCATATACTTCCTCCAACCATAGGCAGTGACATGGTTTCTCAGCTAACATTTTTAGAAGAGTCATACTATTTTACTCTGTGCCATCTAAACATGAATATGGTACTTGGAAACTCCCGATATTAAAAATAGAAGTATAACATCACTCCAACTCAGTGAAGAGACTTTATAATACTTTGGGCATTTAAGAAATCCTTCTGTAAATAATAAATTGACTGCATACTTTCTTCATTGCCACTTTCATTTCTTTGTTCCTCAATGTATAGATGACTGAATTTAAAAAAGGGGTGAGAACTGCATCAAAAACAACAAGGAATTTGTCTAGGTGTGATGTGGAGTGAGGCCAGATGTAAACAAAGATGCAAGGGCCAAAAAACAAAATCACCACCATAACATGAGTTGACAAAGTGGAGAGGGCCTTAGATGAGCTACCCGAAGAATGTTTCTGAACAGTGATGAGGATAAAAATGTAGGAGACGATCAATATGAAGAATGATCCCAGGGATATGAATCCACTGTTGGCTGTGACCATGGACTCTAGCCTGAAGGTGTCTGTGCAGGCAAGTTTGATGAACCGAGGAAAGTCACAGTAAAAGCTATCTATTATATTAGGGCCACAGATTGGCAATTTTACAACAAAACCCAGTTGAACCACAGAGTGAATAAAGCCAATTATCCATGCAGCGACAAGAAGCAGAAGACACACTTTTCTGCTCATAATAGTGAAATAGTGGAGAGGCTTACATATGGCAACATATCTGTCAAAGGCCATGGCTATAAGAAGCACCATCTCCACACCACCAATGATATGGATGAAGAAGATTTGAGCAATGCAGCCTCCAAAGGAGATGACTTTACGTTTTCTAAAAATGTCGTAAATCATCTTGGGAGAAATGACAGAAGAAACTCCCAGGTCAGTGATGGAGAGGTTGGCCAATAGAAAGTACATGGGGGAGTGTAAGTGAGGGTTCATCATCACAGTGAGAACAATGAGGGAGTTTCCTAGCATGCTGGCCATGTAAAAGACAGAAGAGAACATGAAGAGGAGAAGTTGAATCTCCCAGGAATTGGTGAGTCCCAGGAACACAAACTCTGACACCATGGAGTGATTCATCCCATGAATGGATTTATCAGTTAGAATGTTGATGAGGAAACTAAAGAAAAAGAAAAGAAAACAAAAATATTAATAATTTTTATATTATTAATATAATGATCACTTATTCAAGGATATTCACATTCCAAAGACTATAAATCTCCTCAATTCCTTCTCAGGACCATTTAATTACTAAATAGCATTTTTTCCTGTGGTCATCTAAAGTAGTTGAGTCACTTCCATGTGCAATGTCCCTTTCACCACAGCCTCCAGGACTGCTCATCTATAAATAAGAGAATAGAACAAACATGCTAACATAGTAGATGTCCATGGCCAGAGTTGGAGGGGTAGGGATGATGGTATAGTGCACCACAAAGAGAAAAAGAAGAGGTAGAGATGGCATTTGCCAGAACACACATATCCCATTTTTAAATTGTTCATACAGCAATCCTTCAGCCATTCAAGTTGTGTCATTTCTTAACCTCACCTCATCTCTGGCACATAACATGTGTCTTGAATCATTTTGTGTCACTACCTACAACTACATTTGCAATTTACGCAAAGCACACAAATCACCTCAGATATGCAGATGACACCACCCTTATGTCAGAAAGCGAAGAGGAACTAAAGTGTCTCTTGATGAAGGTGAAAGACGAGGGTGAAAAAACTGGCTTAAAGCTCAACATTCAAAAAAATGATGATTGTAGCATCTGGTCCCATCACTTCATGGCAAATAGATAGGGAAACAATGGAAACAGTGACAGACTTTATTGTCTTGGTCTCCAAAATCACTGCAGTTGGTAACTGCAGCCATGAAATCAAAAGACACTTGCTCCTTGGAAGGAAAGCTATGATCAACCTAGACAGCATATTAAAAAGCAGAGACATTACTTTGCTGACAAAGATCTGTCTAGTCAAAGCTATGGTTTTTCCAGTAGTCATGTATGGATGTGAGAGTTGGACTATAAAGAAAGCTGAGTGCTGAACAATTGATGCTTTTGAACTGTGGTGTTGGAGGACAATCTTGAGAGTCCTTTGGACTGCAAGGAGATCCAACCAGTCCATCCTAAAGGAAATCAGTCCTGAATATTCATTGGAAGGACTGATGTTGAAGCTGAAACTCCAGTCCTTCGGCCACCTGATGAGAAGAACTGATATTTAGAAAAGACTCTGATGCTGGGAAAGATTAAAGGTGGGAGGACAGGTGACAACAGAGGATGAGATGGTTGGATGGCATCACCTACTTGATGGACTTGAGTTTGAGCAAGCTCTGGGAGCTGGTGATGGACAGGGAAGCCTGGCGTGCTGCAGTCCATGTGGTCATAAAGACTCGAATATGACAGTGACTGAACTGAATTGAAGATCATGGCATCTGGTCGCATCAGTTCAGTTCAGTCGCTCAGTCATGTCCAACTCTTTGTGACCCCATGAACCACAGCATGCCAGGACTCCCTGTCTATCACCAACTCCAGGAATTACCCAAACTCATATCCATTGAGTTGGAGATGCTATCCAACCATCTCATCCTCTGTCATCCTCTTCTCCTCCTGCCCTCAATCTTTCCCATCATCAGGGTCTTTTCCAATGATTCACCTCTTGGCATCAGGTGGCCAAAGTATTGGAGTTTCAGCTTCAACATCAGTCCTTCCAATGAACACCCAGGACTGATCTCCTTTAGGATAGACTGGTTGGATCTCCTTGCAGTCCAAGGGACTCTCAAGAGTCTTCTCCAACACCACAATTCAAAAGCATCAATTCTTCTGTGCTCAGCTTTCTTTATTGTCCAACTCTCACATCCACACATGACTACTGGAAAAACCATAGCCTTGACTAGACGGACCTTTGTTGACAAAGTAATGTCTCTGCTTTTTAATATGCTATCTAGGTTGGTCATAACTTTCCTTCCGAGGAGCAAGCATCTTTTAATTTCATGGCTGCAATCACCATCTGGAGTGATTTTGGAGCCCCCCCAAAATAAAGTCAGCCACAGTTTCCACTGTTTTCTCATCTATTTGCTGTGAAGTGATGGGACCGGATGCCATGATCTTAGTTTTCTGAATGTTGAGCTTTAAGCCAACTTTTTCACTTTCCTCTTTCACTTTCATCAAGAGGCTCTTTAATTCTTCTTCACTTTCTGCCATAAGGGTGGAGTCATCTGCATATCTGAGGTTATTGATATTTCTCCCAGCAATCTTGATTCCAGCTTGTGCTTCCTCCAGCTCAGCGTTTCTCATGATGTACCCTGCATATAAGTTAAATAAGCAGGGTGACAATATACAGCCTTGATGTACTCTTTTTCCTATTTGGAACCAGTATGTTGTTCCATGTTCGGTTCTAACTGTTGCTTCCTGACCTGCATACAGGTTTCTCAAGAGGCAGGTCAGGTGGTCTGGTATTCCCATCTCTTTCAGAATTTTCCACAGTTTATTGTGACCCACACAGTCAAAGGCTTTGGCATGGTCAATAAAGCAGAAATAGTTGTTTTTCTGGAACTCTCTTGGTATTTCGGTGATCCAGCGGATATTGGCAATTTGATCTCTGGTTCCTCTGCCTTTTCTAAAACCGGCTTGAACATCTGGAAGTTCTCGGTTCACGTATTGCTGAAGCCTTGCTTGGATAATTTTGAGCATTACTTTGCTAGCGTGTGAGACGAGTGCAATTGTGCGGTAGTTTGAGCATTCTTTGGCACTGTTTGGCAATAGACTTCCCTGGTGGCTCAGACAGTAAATCGTCTGCCTACAATGCAGGGGGACCTGGTTCAAACCCTGGGTCAGGAAGATCCCCCGGGTTGGGAAGCTCCCCTGGAGAAGAAAGTTGCAACCCACTCCAGTGCTCTTGCTTGTAAAATCCCATGGACAGAGGAGCCTGGTAGGCTACAGTTCATGGGGCCCCAAAGAGTCAGACACGACAGAGCGACTTCTCTTTCTTTCTTTCTGGTCCCATCACTTCATGGCAAATAGATGGGGAAATAACAGAAACAGTTATAGACTATTTTCTTGGGCTCCAAAATCACTGCAGATGGTGACTGCAGCCATGATTAAAAAATGTTGCTCCTTGGAAGAAAAGCTATGATCAACCTAGACAGCATATAAAAGGCAGAGAGATTACTTTGTCAACACAAGTCGATTTAGTCAAAGCTATGGTTTTTCCAGTAGTCATGTATGGATGTGAGAGTTGGACTATAGAGAAAGCTAAGCACCGAAGTATTGATGCTTTGAACTGTGGTGTTGGAGAAGACTCCCTTGGACTGCAAGGAGATCCAACAAGTCCACCCTAAAGGAAATCAGTCCTGGAAGGACTGATGCTGAAGCTGAAACTCCAATATTTTGGCCACCTGATATGAAGATCTGACTCATTATAAAAGCCCCAATGTTGGTAAAGATTGAAGGCAGGAGAGAAGGGGATGACAGAGGATGAGATGGTTGGATGGCATCACTGACTCAATGGACATGAGTTTGAGCAAGTTCCGGGAGATGGTGATGGACAGGGCAGCCTGGTGTGCTGCAGTCCATGGGGTGGCAAGGAGTTGGAGATGACTGAGGGACTGAACAACAACTAGAACTAAATAATCACTAATGAGGCTTGTGGGGTGATAATTTTATGACCAATTTCCCTCCTCATGCACAATGAGGCATGCATTTGTGTGAATATATAAACAGCCATATTAAACGGCAAAGTTTTGGATTTTTTTTTTTTTGCTGGATTTCATTTGCCCCTTCAATTTCAAGTTAACCATTTGAAAATGAGGAAAGGGGTCCAGTGAGAAACAAGCAACTAATTATTGACAGATAATCTAGATTCTCTATTTCAAATATGGCTTCAGAGTTTACCCACTGGAAAAGCAATAAAGTCAGAAGACATAAGTCAAACCCGAGATCTACTCAGTGCAAAACAGTAGCTACTATTTACATGTTGTTATTAAATGAAATTAAAAATCTATTTTCTCAGATGCACTGGTCACATTTCCAGTGCTCAGTCGCTATTGGTTATGTAATGGACAGTGCAATAGAACATTTCCAACAAGTACTCATCCTTTAAGGGCTTCTCAGGTGGCTCAGCGGTAAAGAACCTGCCTGCCAATGCAGGAGACACAGGTTCCATCCCTGGCTCAGGAAGATCCCTTGGAGTAGGAAATGGCAACCCACTCCAGTATTCCTGCCTGGAAAATCCCATGGACAGAGGAACCAGGTGGGCTATATAGTCCATGGAGTTGCAAAAAGTCGGACATGACTTAGCAACTAAGCAACAAACATCCTTTAAAGGTAAATCAAAATCCCATTTTCTCCAAGAACATTTCCCTAGCTACTCTATATTAATATCTTCCTTCTCTTATTC